TGATCTCTCCACCGTTCCCCAACTCTATCACCCAGTCACCACTTCTCCCTCCTGTGTCTCTAGCTCTCCACAGGATGTCCACCTGGTCCTGATTTTCCCAGGATCATCCCGCGTTAGCACTGAAAGTCCCACATCCCAGAAAACCTCTCAGCCTGGACAAACCAGACGGTAGCCTCCCCAGCTCTGGGGTGGCAATGGCTTCCCAGCGCTGCCAGCCTCTGGCCTCTGCGTCCTATGCTTGTTCCCTTAGCCACGCCCACACCTCTGTAAATAATCCTTTTATTAAAGTCGATTTAACTGTACTATTTTGGGTGAATTTGTTTGCTTTTGAAATCCTGAATGTTACCATCCCCACAGGGCCCTCTTAGTATTATTAATGTCTTTTCACAGATGAGGAAACTGAAGCACAGGGAGAGGTTAAGTAACTTGGTCAAAGTTACATCATTAGTAAATGGCAGAGCTGGGATCCAAGCTCCAGAGCCTTACGCTCACCCACTCATGTCTCCCTCACAGAGGGCTGACAAGCCTCCTTCTTGGATACTTTTGATGGAGAGACCCATGGATCTGAAAAAAAGGCTGACCTCTCTCTCTTATTAGCCTGGACCTCTGGGCAGGCTTTGGAGTTGACCCAGGTGGAGAGGGAGAAGATGGGAGGAGCAGTGCAAGAGCCAAGACAACTGCTGAGGTAGCACCTGGCCCCGATGTCCATTCTCCTGGCTTCCTGCAAGAGAGGGAAGGAGGAGAAGCTTCCAGGCTCATGTTCAGACAGGCCCATGAGTGGGATAGAGCCAAGAGGTAAGGGGGATGGGGCATAGTTCCAGTCCTAAGTCCCCATCAGAGCCCCCAGCACAAGCTGAGCTGCTGATCCCTGTCCTGCGTGCAGGAGAAGAGCCTGCCCAGAGGTCCCAGGCTAATGGAGAAGCTGAGTCCTAGACCAGAACAGACAGGAACAGAGCCCAGGATGGCAACGGTGCAGCCAGGCTGTGCTGGAAACAGGAAGTGTCTGGTGGGTTCAGACACAGGGAGCTGGGAAGGTTTCCAGGATGAGAAGAATCTGGTCCAAACTTGGGGAAAAGGAGAAGCAGGATGAAGGGGGGCTGTCCGGAATCAGAAATGGAGCCTATCCTGGAGGATTAACCAGGGAACAAGCTACAAGAGATGGTAAAACATCAGAGAGTATCCTGGGAGGCTGGAAGGAAGCCTCTGATAAGCTGATTGGGGTGAGAAGTGAGATGCCCATAGGATATAACCTGAACAAGCCTAAATATTTCACAGATTGCCTTTTGTGGAGGGTGGGCTGGGCAGTGGCACACCTTCTTTTTTGCTGGGTGTGCAAGCCTGGAGGCCTAGCTGAATTGCTGGAAGGAATGACAGAGACATGCACATTGCCACAGGGAACCTTTGATCCTGCCCTTCAGCCTCTCCTCGAAATGCCCTTGGAACACATATTGAAGGCTATTGCTCAGCATCACTGCTGAATTATTAACCTGACTGGGGCACCCCTGTCCAGGAGGAAGGCCAGATTAAAGCTCAGAGATGAAAGGTGGGGTGAGATGACAAGACTCAGCTTTGCCACCTTGGGTAGAGCTGGAGCCAGGGTATAAGGAGGAAGGGATTAGAAGAGACAAGACACAAAAGGGCCTCACCACCCAGATCTCAACCCAGGGTGTCTGAATTAGCCATAGGAGGCTGGCCTCTGGCACTGGAGCCAAAGGCTCTGAGAAGGAAGACCTGGTTCTCATGGGTGGGAGGGCCCATGAGAACCAGACATCAGAAGCAGATGTCTCCAGACCCACTAGGAGGGCAGGATGGTTTGGTCTTGCTTGCCAGAGTAGCCCCAGTCTTGGAACAGTGGTTCAAGTGTGGTTTGTACCCAATACAATTTGTGGGATGGAATGGAGAGGTAAGGAGAGGAAGGAAAACTCATCCCCAGAGAGAATTGGGGCTGCTTCATTTCACAGAAAAGCTAGAGAAATGGAGGCTCAGAGGCAGATGAGTAGGACAAGGGCAGGTGCCTCTTGGTGTGGACTCTAGGATCTGGTCAGTGGCCCTCAGACCTACCCCCCCCTCAAAGGACAATAAAGTCAAAAAGTTTGCCCACCCCTGCTCTAGAGTCTGGTCGGTGGCCCTCAGACCTCTTCCCTCCCCTCAAAGGACAATACTTGGGTGAGATGCAGACTGGCCAAGCCAAACCCAGAGTTTTCCTAGCTCAGCTTGGAGGCCATGAAGAGAGGAGAAGATGAGGCTGGCTAGCTGGAGGATGGAGCAGTATGCACTGGGCAAGCAGCAGACAAATTAGACAAATCACTAGGCAAGACCAGGCCAGCACTCAGAACAGCAGACAGACATGACTTTATTAATTTTTGCAGCATCCCCTGTGGGCAGTGGACACACAACTGGCCATGCAGGGATGGGATGATGGGGTGGGGGTAGGGCTGAGAATGTTCAGGAAGGCAGGAAAGCAAGTGGCTGCCACGGTACTCAGTATGTAATGGACGTCTTAAGACTTGATTCGACAGTCTTCTTCAGGATGGTGCGGCCGCTGGAGCCAGAGCCAGAGCCAGAGCTGGACACAGAGCAGGACCCCATCACAGGGCCCTGTCCAGAGCCCAGGATGATGTTGGAGCCTCCAGTTACAACGCTGGAGCAGCTGGACCCACCTCCGAGTCCACAAGTTCCTCCAGACAGGATGGCACTGCCTCCCCCCACGGCTGCAAGAAATACACCAGTGTCACAGTAGGGTCCTCAGCTCCCCATGGGGATCCCTCCCTGAAACTCCCCTGATACTCACAGATGGTGACCTGGCTGTTCCATTCCCCAGACATCCTGGGGGAGAAAGAACAAGAGAGGAACTGCTGAGAAAGGCGCAAGAATGCCTCTTGGAACAGCTCACCTACTTTCTCAGCAGATAAAGTCCACGGTCCCCAATTTAAAACCCCTCCCAGCAGAATGGGTTGCCCTCAATGGTTTAGAATGTGAGGAAATCTCTCAGGATTCCCCTCACAAGGAAAGCTCTGTGTTGGCATTCCATCCTCCACCATCACTTTCCCCACAAGAAACATATCCCCAGGTCCTCTGACTGGCCCCACCTGCACTCCTCGCTCTCCAGCAGCCTGCGGTAGGTGGCGATCTCCACATCCAGGGCCAGTTTTGTGCTCATGAGCTCCTGGTACTGTCGCAGCAGCCGGGCCATGTCCTGCTTGGCGGTTCTCAGAGCGGCCTCCAGCTCAGTCACCTTGGCCTGAGCATCCTTGAGAGCCAGCTCCCCACGCTGCTCGGCATGTGCGATGGCAGCCTCCAGGTTGGCATTCTGGGAGGGATGTAGACATGAGGGAGGAAATGGCAGTAAGCACAACACAGCCTCCCAAAGCACTTACTATGGATAAAACTTGAAGGCTGGGTGCAGCATAATCACATGAGCTCAAAAGTATCCTTGGCCCCTCCCACGGCTCTTATTCTACGGAAGAGTATGGCCTCTTCTGCTTCCTTAACTCCCAAAACTCTTAGGTCCACCAAGAACTTCAGAATGTGCTCTAATTGGAAATAGGGTTTTTTGCAGATGTAATTAGTTAAGGATCTCAAGGTGACATCATATTGTATTTCAGGTGAGTCCTGAACCTAATGACTGGTGTTCCTAGAAAAAGATGAGAGGGCACGGGCACAGAGAGAAGGCACCACATGAAGATGGAGGCTGAGACTGGAGTGATGTGGCTACAAAACCAGGAATGCCAAGGAATTGCCGGAGCCACCAGTAGGCAGAGGCCAGGAAGGATTCCAGCTGGCTCCTTCAGAGGGAGCATGGCCCTGCTGACTCTGATTTCTGCGCTTGCAGAAGTCCAGGCTCATCTCCAGATTGAGAGAATAAGTTTTTGTTGTTTCAAGACACCAACCTTGTGGTACATTGTTACAGCAGCCACAAGAAACTAACCCACCCTTTCCCACCTCAAGTGATCACTCCTGCTTCTTCCCTCTGAAGCCTCTTCCTGTCCTGTTCCGATCATTACCTACAAGGCTCATCTTGTTGGCCACCACGGCCCTGGATATTTTTGGAGCAGCCCCATTTCAGATATTTTGTCCTGTTTTCAGAGTTTATCAAACTATGTACCTCCATTTTTAGTTTGAAAAATACATTCTTTGTACTTTTCTCTCCAATCCCACAGAAAACTCTTATATGAAGACCCCTGTCTAATTGGCCATCCAGCTGATTGGCCCTCATGTTTGGTTCGGAATGAAGGCATTCCCTAAAGGTTCTCATTATTCTTTCCCACACAAGCACCCTGTGGATGGGGAGCATCATCTCCATTCTACAGATGAGGAAGCTGAGGCTCAGAAAGGTGAGTGTCAGACCTAAAGCTAAAGTCCAGTCCACCACTCTAACTGTAACCCTCGGGGCTCTGCCTGGGGCCTGGCACAGGGGATCCCAATTCATCAGGCTTGTGTGCATGAAGAGGAGTAGTAATGGGAGCAGGGGGAGTCATATCCCTAAGGAAGGTTCAAGTCTTTGGTGGGAGGAGCTCTGGTTCCCAGACATGGGGACGTAGTTCCACCCTAAGTTCTGGCAGCTGGGCTTTGAGACTCCCCGTATTCATGTCATCTGGGCGAACTTAGTTTAGAAAGCAGGTTTCTGGGCTCCACCCTTAGAGACCTTGATTCCCTCTGTCTGACAGGAGGCGCAGGGAACTATTTTAACAGGCAACCCAGGGAATCCAAAGCAAGGAATCCAAACTTAAGGGCAAAGCACGATGGCAGCAAATTAAGTAACAGGTCCTGCATCACACTCCAAAGAAGAGCAGGTAAGGATGGTTAGAGTCTGAGTCTGGGCTTTGAGTGATCTGTACTCTAAGGATTTTCCCCTGAGGGCCCTGCTGGCAATGGATGGGTCATGTGCAACTTGGGAGTCAAGCCAAAGTTCTTAGAGGAAACCGCCTGACTCTGTGGTCTCAGTTCTAAAAAAAAAAAAGACCGTACCCTTTTATGTAATGATGTTTACTTTGAATTTATATTAGTTCACACAAACACTCCATCCATGCTTTTGTTCCGGCCCTCCGGTCCAGTTTAAGAACCCATTGTGGCCCTCGAGTCAAAAAGTTTGCCCACCCCTGCTCTAGAGTCTGGTCGGTGGCCCTCAGACCTCTTCCCTCCCCTCAAAGGACAATACTTGGGTGAGATGCAGACTGGCCAAGCCAAACCCAGAGTTTTCCTAGCTCAGCTTGGAGGCCATGAAGAGAGGAGAAGATGAGGCTGGCTAGCTGGAGGATGGAGCAGTATGCACTGGGCAAGCAGCAGACAAATTAGACAAATCACTAGGCAAGACCAGGCCAGCACTCAGAACAGCAGACAGACATGACTTTATTAATTTTTGCAGCATCCCCTGTGGGCAGTGGACACACAACTGGCCACGCAGGGATGGGATGATGGGGTGGGGGTAGGGCTGAGAATGTTCAGGAAGGCAGGAAAGCAAGTGGCTGCCACGGTACTCAGTATGTAATGGACGTCTTAAGACTTGATTCGACAGTCTTCTTCAGGATGGTGCGGCCGCTGGAGCCAGAGCCAGAGCCAGAGCTGGACACAGAGCAGGACCCCATCACAGGGCCCTGTCCAGAGCCCAGGATGATGTTGGAGCCTCCAGTTACAACGCTGGAGCAGCTGGACCCACCTCCGAGTCCACAAGTTCCTCCAGACAGGATTGCACTGCCTCCCCCCACGGCTGCAAGAAATACACCAGTGTCACAGTAGGGTCCTCGGCTCCCCATGGGGATCCCTCCCTGAAACTCCCCTGATACTCACAGATGGTGACCTGGCTGTTCCATTCCCCAGACATCCTGGGGGAGAAAGAACAAGAGAGGAACTGCTGAGAAAGGCGCAAGAATGCCTCTTGGAACAGCTCACCTACTTTCTCAGCAGATAAAGTCCACGGTCCCCAATTTAAAACCCCTCCCAGCAGAATGGGTTGCCCTCAATGGTTTAGAATGTGAGGAAATCTCTCAGGATTCCCCTCACAAGGAAAGCTCTGTGTTGGCATTCCATCCTCCACCATCACTTTCCCCACAAGAAACATATCCCCAGGTCCTCTGACTGGCCCCACCTGCACTCCTCGCTCTCCAGCAGCCTGCGGTAGGTGGCGATCTCCACATCCAGGGCCAGTTTTGTGCTCATGAGCTCCTGGTACTGTCGCAGCAGCCGGGCCATGTCCTGCTTGGCGGTTCTCAGAGCGGCCTCCAGCTCAGTCACCTTGGCCTGAGCATCCTTGAGAGCCAGCTCCCCACGCTGCTCGGCATGTGCGATGGCAGCCTCCAGGTTGGCATTCTGGGAGGGATGTAGACATGAGGGAGGAAATGGCAGTAAGCACAACACAGCCTCCCAAAGCACTTACTATGGATAAAACTTGAAGGCTGGGTGCAGCATAATCACATGAGCTCAAAAGTATCCTTGGCCCCTCCCACGGCTCTTATTCTACGGAAGAGTATGGCCTCTTCTGCTTCCTTAACTCCCAAAACTCTTAGGTCCACCAAGAACTTCAGAATGTGCTCTAATTGGAAATAGGGTTTTTTGCAGATGTAATTAGTTAAGGATCTCAAGGTGACATCATATTGTATTTCAGGTGAGTCCTGAACCTAATGACTGGTGTTCCTAGAAAAAGATGAGAGGGCACGGGCACAGAGAGAAGGCACCACATGAAGATGGAGGCTGAGACTGGAGTGATGTGGCTACAAAACCAGGAATGCCAAGGAATTGCCGGAGCCACCAGTAGGCAGAGGCCAGGAAGGATTCCAGCTGGCTCCTTCAGAGGGAGCATGGCCCTGCTGACTCTGATTTCTGCGCTTGCAGAAGTCCAGGCTCATCTCCAGATTGAGAGAATAAGTTTTTGTTGTTTCAAGACACCAACCTTGTGGTACATTGTTACAGCAGCCACAAGAAACTAACCCACCCTTTCCCACCTCAAGTGATCACTCCTGCTTCTTCCCTCTGAAGCCTCTTCCTGTCCTGTTCCGATCATTACCTACAAGGCTCATCTTGTTGGCCACCACGGCCCTGGATATTTTTGGAGCAGCCCCATTTCAGATATTTTGTCCTGTTTTCAGAGTTTATCAAACTATGTACCTCCATTTTTAGTTTGAAAAATACATTCTTTGTACTTTTCTCTCCAATCCCACAGAAAACTCTTAGATGAAGACCCCTGTCTAATTGGCCATCCAGCTGATTGGCCCTCATGTTTGGTTCGGAATGAAGGCATTCCCTAAAGGTTCTCATTATTCTTTCCCACACAAGCACCCTGTGGATGGGGAGCATCATCTCCATGCACCCTGTGGATGGGGAGCATCATCTCCATTCTACAGATGAGGAAACTGAGGCTCAGAAAGGTGAGTGTCAGAGTCAGGACCCTACCTAAAGCTGAAGTCCAGTCCACCACTCTAACTATAACCCTCAGCTCTGCCTGGAGCATCCTTGAGAGCCAGCTCCCCACGCTGCTCGGCATGTGCGATGGCAGCCTCCAGGTTGGCATTCTGGGAGGGATGTAGACATGAGGGAGGAAATGGCAGTAAGCACAACACAGCCTCCCAAAGCACTTACTATGGATAAAACTTGAAGGCTGGGTGCAGCATAATCACATGAGCTCAAAAGTATCCTTGGCCCCTCCCACGGCTCTTATTCTACGGAAGAGTATGGCCTCTTCTGCTTCCTTAACTCCCAAAACTCTTAGGTCCACCAAGAACTTCAGAATGTGCTCTAATTGGAAATAGGGTTTTTTGCAGATGTAATTAGTTAAGGATCTCAAGGTGACATCATATTGTATTTCAGGTGAGTCCTGAACCTAATGACTGGTGTTCCTAGAAAAAGATGAGAGGGCACGGGCACAGAGAGAAGGCACCACATGAAGATGGAGGCTGAGACTGGAGTGATGTGGCTACAAAACCAGGAATGCCAAGGAATTGCCGGAGCCACCAGTAGGCAGAGGCCAGGAAGGATTCCAGCTGGCTCCTTCAGAGGGAGCATGGCCCTGCTGACTCTGATTTCTGCGCTTGCACAAGTCCAGGCTCATCTCCAGATTGAGAGAATAAGTTTTTGTTGTTTCAAGACACTAACCTTGTGGTACATTGTTACAGCAGCCACAAGAAACTAGCCCACCCTTTCCCACCTCAAGTGATCACTCCTGCTTCTTCCCTCTGAAGCCTCTTCCTGTCCTGTTCCAATCATTACCTACAAGGCTCATCTTGTTGGCCACCACGGCCCTGGATATTTTTGGAGCAGCCCCATTTCAGATATTTTGTCCTGTTTTCAGAGTTTATCAAACTATGTACCTCCATTTTTAGTTTGAAAAATACATTCTTTGTACTTTTCTCTCCAATCCCACAGAAAACTCTTATATGAAGACCCCTGTCTAATTGGCCATCCAGCTGATTGGCCCTCATGTTTGGTTCGGAATGAAGGCATTCCCTAAAGGTTCTCATTATTCTTTCCCACACAAGCACCCTGTGGATGGGGAGCATCATCTCCATTCTACAGATGAGGAAACTGAGGCTCAGAAAGGTGAGTGTCAGAGTCAGGACCCTACCTAAAGCTGAAGTCCAGTCCACCACTCTAACTATAACCCTCAGGGCTCTGCCTGGGGCCTGGCACAGGGGGTCCCAATTCATCAGGCTTGTGTGCATGAAGAGGAGTAGTAATGGGAGCAGGGGGAGTCATATCCCTAAGGAAGGTTCAAGTCTTTGGTGGGAGGAGCTCTGGTTCCCAGACATGGGGACGTAGTTCCACCCTAAGTTCTGGCAGCTGGGCTTTGAGACTCCCCGTATTCATGTCATCTGGGCGAACTTAGTTTAGAAAGCAGGTTTCTGGGCTCCACCCTTAGAGACCTTGATTCCCTCTGTCTGACAGGAGGTGCAGGGAACTATTTTAACAGGCAACCCAGGGAATCCAAAGCAAGGAATCCAAACTTAAGGGCAAAGCACGATGGCAGCAAATTAAGTAACAGGTCCTGCATCACACTCCAAAGAAGAGCAGGTAAGGATGGTTAGAGTCTGAGTCTGGGCTTTGAGTGATCTGTACTCTAAGGATTTTCCCCTGAGGGCCCTGCTGGCAATGGATGGGTCATGTGCAACTTGGGAGTCAAGCCAAAGTTCTTAGAGGAAACCGCCTGACTCTGTGGTCTCAGTTCTTAACGCTCTGTTGACCCCAAAACCGATTCTTCAGATTTGGGGAAAGTGAGTACAAAGACACTTGAAAACTTAAGAACTGGAAATCCTTCGCATCTAGAAATGAATTCTCCAAGAGGAATAGGAAACCACCTCCCTGCCCTTGCCATCCTCTCCCTCATCCCTCTCACTCCTCCCCACACCAGGCACCAACAGCTTTACCTCCTAAGGAGGGCTCAGCCTCCCCACTCTACTGCCCATGTCGCCTGCTCCCTGAGGTCCTGGCTATCACCCTCCCTAAAAGGGAACCAGGAAATTCAGTGCATGGCCTTAGAAACCCTGCTGGGCTTGATGCATCAAAGTTAAAAGGAGGGATAAGAAAAGAGATAAATTAACCCTCTCCCCAAGGAGCTTAAAGCAAGATGTACACCTGGATATGGAATCCAGCACGAGCAGAGCCACCTGGAGTTGTTCAATGCAGAGCTCATGCAGCTAGAATGCATAAGAGGAAGGCTGAAGTACCCTTAAATGGGGCTTGAGGTTCTCTCTACCCCAAATTACTTCGAGTCCAGCCAGTTATCAAGGTTCACACCAGCCCAGAGGTGACCGCGGCACAAAGGCAAGAGGCAGGGCTCAGGGAGCTCTGGGACCCTGGTCTCAGCTCTCAATGCTCTGTTGACCCCAAAACCGATTCTTCAGATTTGGGGAAAGTGAATACAAAGACACTTGAAAACTTAAGAACTGGAAATCCTTCGCATCTAGAAATGAATTCTCCAAGATGAATAGGAAACCACCTCCCTGCCCTTGCCATCCTCTCCCTCCATCCCTCTCACTCCTCCCCACACCAGGCACCAACAGCTTTACCTCCTAAGGAGGGCTCAGCCCCCCACTCTACTGCCCATGTCGCCTGCTCCCTGAGGTCCTGGCTATCACCCTCCCTAAAAGGGAACCAGGAAATTCAGTGCATGGCCTTAGAGGCCCTGCTGGGCTTGATGCATCAAAGTCAAAAGGAGGGATAAGAAAAGAAATAAATTAACCCTCTCCCCAAGGAGCCTAAAGCAAGATGTACACCTGGACATGGAATCCAGCACGAGCAGAGCCACCTGAAGTTGTTCAATGCAGAGATCATGCAGCTAGAATGCATAGAGGAAGGCTGAAGTACCCTTAAATGGGGCTTGAAGTTCTCTCTACCCCAAATTACTTCGAGTCCAGCCAGTTATCAAGGTTCACACCAGCCCAGCGGTGACCGCAGCACAAAAGCAAGAGGCAGGGCTCAGGGAGCTCTGACCCTCACCTCCACCAGTAGGCAGAGGCCAGGAAGGATTCCAGCTGGCTCCTTCAGAGGGAGCATGGCCCTGCTGACTCTGATTTCTGCGCTTGCAGAAGTCCAGGCTCATCTCCAGATTGAGAGAATAAGTTTTTGTTGTTTCAAGACACCAACCTTGTGGTACATTGTTACAGCAGCCACAAGAAACTAACCCACCCTTTCCCACCTCAAGTGATCACTCCTGCTTCTTCCCTCTGAAGCCTCTTCCTGTCCTGTTCCGATCATTACCTACAAGGCTCATCTTGTTGGCCACCACGGCCCTGGATATTTTTGGAGCAGCCCCATTTCAGATATTTTGTCCTGTTTTCAGAGTTTATCAAACTATGTACCTCCATTTTTAGTTTGAAAAATACATTCTTTGTACTTTTCTCTCCAATCCCACAGAAAACTCTTATATGAAGACCCCTGTCTAATTGGCCATCCAGCTGATTGGCCCTCATGTTTGGTTCGGAATGAAGGCATTCCCTAAAGGTTCTCATTATTCTTTCCCACACAAGCACCCTGTGGATGGGGAGCATCATCTCCATTCTACAGATGAGGAAACTGAGGCTCAGAAAGGTGAGTGTCAGAGTCAGGACCCTACCTAAAGCTGAAGTCCAGTCCACCACTCTAACTATAACCCTCAGGGCTCTGCCTGGGGCCTGGCACAGGGGGTCCCAATTCATCAGGCTTGTGTGCATGAAGAGGAGTAGTAATGGGAGCAGGGGGAGTCATATCCCTAAGGAAGGTTCAAGTCTTTGGTGGGAGGAGCTTGGTTCCCAGCTCAGCCTCCCCACTCTACTGCCCATGTCGCCTGCTCCCTGAGGTCCTGGCTATCACCCTCCCTAAAAGGGAACCAGGAAATTCAGTGCATGGCCTTAGAGGCCCTGCTGGGCTTGATGCATCAAAGTCAAAAGGAGGGATAAGAAAAGAAATAAATTAACCCTCTCCCCAAGGAGCCTAAAGCAAGATGTACACCTGGACATGGAATCCAGCACGAGCAGAGCCACCTGAAGTTGTTCAATGCAGAGATCATGCAGCTAGAATGCATAGAGGAAGGCTGAAGTACCCTTAAATGGGGCTTGAAGTTCTCTCTACCCCAAATTACTTCGAGTCCAGCCAGTTATCAAGGTTCACACCAGCCCAGAGGTGACCGCGGCACAAAGGCAAGAGGCAGGGCTCAGGGAGCTCTGGGACCCTCACCTGCTTCTTGAGGTCCTCAATCTGTCTCTGCAGTCTCTGGATTGCCTGCTGCAGCTGAGAGATCTGAACTTTGATTTCCTTCATGCTGTCCCCATGGAGCTGGGCAGATGCCTGCAGCTCCTGGTACTGAGGAGGACAGAGGTGACCATGAGTTGAGAGGACCTTCACCTTTGACGCCAAGACCCATGCCCCCCATCCGTTGCTTCCTCACATCCTCATTTGGAACATGGGTTAAACACTGAGACCAGGACATGGTGGGATGTGCTTGCAGAAGTCCAGGCTCATCTCCCACAGGTTTCCTGCATTGCCTCCCTCCCGGAGAATGGAGATGGTCTTGCCCACCCAGCTCTGGAGCTTCAGGAAGGTTATCAGAACTGCCCGATGGACCGAGGTGGACAACCCCCCCGGGGTGTGGGCATGAAGACCCAGTCTTTTCCAGCATGGCGCTGCCCCTGGCCCTGGCACCTTGGTCTGGTACAGCGTCTCAGCCTCGGCCTTGCTGGTCTGGGTGATCTCCTCATACCGGGCCCGGACCTCGGCGATGATGTCGCTGAAGTCCAGGCAGCGGTTGTTATCCATGGACAGCACCACGGACATGTCGCCGGCCTGGGTCTGCAGCTGGCCCAGCTCCTGCCAGGAAGACTGACTCAGTGTCCACTTGCCCCAGCTCCCTTTCCCCTTGGAGCCCCGTGGAAGGTGGGCAAGAGGCCTGACTCTCTGCCCACACTCCGTCAGTGGGCAGCCCTCATTCACGCTGGGTGGCACTGAGCACTCCCTGCCTTCTGTGGGGCTGTCTCCTTGTCTGAAATGAGGGCTGTAGGAGGTGGTCTCAACAGCTCTTGGAGCTTGGAATTTTTTTATATTGATCTTAGAGAAAGAGAAACTTCGACCTGCTGTTCCATCCACTGATGCACTCTTTGGTTGATTCTTGTATGTGCCCTGACTGGGGATCAAACCTGCAACCTTAGTGTATAGGGACAATTTCTAACTGAGTACCCACTGTGGGGCTGTCTCCTTGTCTGAAATGAGGGCTGTAGGAGGTGGTCTCAACAGCTCTTGGAGCTTGGAATTTTTTTATATTGATCTTAGAGAAAGAGAAACTTCGACCTGCTGTTCCATCCACTGATGCACTCTTTGGTTGATTCTTGTATGTGCCCTGACTGGGGATCAATCCTATAACCTTGGTGTATAGGGACAATTTCTAACCGAGTACCCGGCCAGGGCTTGCAGCTTGGAATTTAAAGGAAAATGTCCTGCAAGGCCTGAAATCATCTGGTCCCCATCACTCTTCTGACCTCTTATCACCTGACCTCCCTCTCACTCCAGCTGTTCCAGCCACACGGCCTCCTTGCATTTCCTCAGACACCAGCACACAGGGTGGGGGGCCACTCCCTCACCCTGGGATCCAGGATTCCTACCTTCAGGAAGGTTATCAGAACTGCCCAATGGACCGAGGATAACTTCCTCACCTCCTTCAAATCTTTGCTCAAATTTTATCTTCTATATCAGGCCACCCTGACCACCCTATTTGAAATTGCAACCTGCCCTACCCCCCACATTCCCAATCCTCCTTTCCCTGTTCTAATTTTCCTTTTTTCCATGGCATTTATCACCTTCTAACATACTTATTTACTAAGTCTGTCATTTATTGTCCATCTCCCAGTAGAAAGCAAGCTTTGTGACTTTGAGTGGGTTGTTCACTGGTGTGTCCCCAGAACCTAGCAATCCACATAGTAACTTCTCAGTAATTGTTTGTCAAACGACTGAATGACCAGAGTCTAGGTCACCCTAACTAGGCTTCACCCCTCCTGGCCACTCCCACAGTGGCCACAGGGAGGCTGCCCACTCTACCCCCTCCCTCACTACCACCTGCCCTCAGAGACCACCACTTCCGCCACTGGCAGATCCTCACTTCTTCATACAGACGCCTCAAGAAGCAGGTGTGCTCTCTCAGGGACTCCAGCTTGCCTTCCAACTCCATCTTGCTGAGGAAAACCTCATCCACATCCTGGGGGAGGGAGACAGAAACCATGTATCCCTACTTCCTTTCTGCTGCCCCACTCTGGCTGGCTGGCTCAGGGGTTCTGTTCACAAACTGTCCAACATCTACCCACAGCCATCTCCAGACACCCGCTTCTTCCTTCTCCACCGCTGAGGAAAACCTCATCCACATCCTGGGGGAGGGAGAGAGAAACCATGTATCCCTACTTCCTCTCTGTGGCCCCACTCTGGCTGGCTGGCTGGCTCAGGAGTTCTGTTCACAAACTGTCCAACATCCACCCGCAGCCATCTCCAGACACCCGCTTCTTTCTTCTCCAGCCCGCCCTGTGCTTTTGTCTAACATTGACCCACACCGCCTTCAGGAAGCCTTCCCTGATTAATCCCAACCAGTTCTGCTTCTTCTACTTCCCCCCACCCTCTCTCACAGTGACACCCAAAACACATCACATGATACTTCTATCGCAGTGGTTCTCAACCTTACTAATGCCGCGACCCTTTAATACAGTTCCTCATGTTGTGGTGACCCCCAATTTCATTGTTACAAATTGAACATAATTAAAGCATAGTGATTAATCACAAAAACAATATGTAATTATATATGTGTTTTCCGATGGTCTTAGGCGACCCTTGTGAAAGGGTCGTTCGACCCCCAAAGGGGTCGCGACCCACAGGTTGAGAACCGCTATTCTATCGGCTCTTGTCTTGGGGTCCCTATGTCTAAGTAGATGTCCCACTTTCCTGAGGGACCCCAACAGGCAGCGTATTCTTCATGAGGATCTCCCACCCTCTGCCCTCCCAACCCAGGGCTGGGCTCTGCACTGTGGGTGCTCAGGATGCAAATGGGGCAGCTGACACTCCCCCTCACCTTTTTGAGAACCACAAAGTCATTCTCCACCGTGGCCCGCTTGTGGGCCTCCTGTTCATACCTGCCAGGTAAAAGCAGAGAGAAGCTGCGCTCAGAGCCGATGTGCTTCCTCCAAGCACGACCTCCCTGTAGAGGCCACTCTTGCCTGTAGATGCTCCAAAGCAGGACACACAACCTGCCTGTGTCTCTACCCTTCCTACCAGGAAGTCTTTGTCACATCCTGGCTATGTCCTCTATTCTTTCAGCCCATGTCCCCTTAGTGACATAGGCCGCTCTTCTTCACATTTACAAGGCACACACACCTTTTCTCACCACTCGCAATGATGGGGCCTGAAGCAGGCAGTTTGGATTTTATCAGAAAGATTCTACAAATCATCTTGCCCGAGTCATAGATGATTAGGTGGCCAAGCCGACCTAACACCTAGGTCTCCTGTCCCCAACCTTGGGTCCCTTCCAGGGCCCACTCCACCTCACATCCCACCTTCCTAACAGCCCTGGGAGGGAAGAAGGGCAGGTGACATCTTCCCAGTTTTCAGATATAGAAAATGAGGCTGGGCGAGGTAAAATGCCTTACTCAAGGCCACACAGCTGTCCTTTGCCCACAGCTACTGAACCCAAGCCTCCTGTTAGTCCAAGGTTCTCTCCACACCACCAGGTGACTTTGATGGGAACCCAGAACCACAGCTGAGCTGTGAATCATGCCACGGGCCTGGGGATGGTCCCACAAAATAAATTCCCTTCCACCCCTGATACCAGAGAACATCTGAGTCACTTTAGCCTACAGCCTGCTCAACAGGAATTTCTCGAGAAAAAAACCCATTGAGGCATTATTTAAATAAGCCCCTCCCAGCGCTGGCCAGAAACCTGGGCCTGGGAGCTGGGGCCTGTTGGCTCTCAGATCTGGGCAGCAGGGGCAGCAGGGGCAGCAGGGGCAGCAGGGGCAGCAGGATACTTACCTGCAGCAGGTGGGGCACACTGAGAGTCAGCGTG